TGTCGTGCCTCGGCGGCGGCTGCTCCTCCTACGCCATCGACACCGAGGACGCGCACCTGCAGCACTACCGAGCCGACTGCGTGACCACCCTGAAGAAGTCGTGCTCCACGGAGTACAAGAACCACACCATCCTCGACACCACCATATGGAGGTACCGCGAGCCGCTGGTGGGGCGGGTCACGGACACCCTCGTCCGCCTGGGCTTCTTCAACCCGGGCACGGCGTCCAGACCCAACGACCCCCCCGCGTCGGCCGTCAGGAGAAAGTGATCCTCCGCGCTCTAGTGAGTCGCCGAAGGTGGTGTTGTCCATGTGCCTTACCTGGTGTGATCCGCCCGCAGTCAGGGTCAAGCGTGTCCCTTCCGAGTCCCGATATCATCCTCACTGTCAAGTCCCCCCCCTCCCTTTGCCATCTCCTTCCTCCTCCTGTGCCTACGCCGAGATGGAGGGTGGCATCGTCCCTGTGGTGATTCTTGCGACATATCTTCATGCTGTGTGAGTGGGCGTGGCGACGCGGCAGGACCTGTCTGAAGTGTCATGACCTCCCGAATCCTCGCCAGCGTCGGGCATAAATGTCGAGAACGTGGTTTATTCACCTCTAGTGACGCGTGTGTCTGTCTTTTTATATGTTAGAAGGGTATTGGATATTTTTATGAACGGTGAATGCTTATGAATAATATAGTCAGATTCCATTTGGAAACGGAAAGCGGTTATTAGCATCAAGCGCAACTTCAGGTGCCACCATCAGCTGCTGTAGTGAGAACAGCGTCCTTATATCTGCACAAATGCATTTCCCAACAGATTTATTATTCAGTGTTTGTGGCTTAGTATCTTGAAAATGTAAAAACAGTACGATCCATATCTTCTCTCACGAGGGAGGGACAGTCACCGGTGTGGAATACGAAGACTCAACTGTGATTTATAGACTGTACGACCTTACAAAGCAGTAATGTAAATATAGCTTAGGATTAGCAGATTTCGCCCTCCATTGTCACTCTAGGTCAAGCTCCGCCCACGCGAAGGCGGCTTCTCTGTGTTGTGCGTCAGTTTCATCTTTTTATTTTCATGTTTATCAGTATTAAGGGAAATATAAAAGACAAAATGTTATATTGAAATGTGTGTTTTTATTTGCACAAGTTTGTTGGATTTTCTTTTTTTAAGGGTGGGTGGGAGGCGAAGAGCCTTCTTTAAGATTAAATCTATTTATATTAGGGTCGTGCATATCATGAGAAAATATCATCACTAATGAAATGTTAAAAAAAATAATGGTCGCAAATATTTTCAACGTCAGTCCATTTTTTATTAGTTTGCGTGCAAACGACCTCAAGTACTTAAAACCCAAAATGTGAAAATGAATAAACGACAGCATATCAGTGCTAGGAAATTCAAAAGGATTTTTTCCCTTTAAAGTTCTCCTGCCCACAGCAAGGGGAAACGGCGATATTTCTCTGACTAATCGACTAGTCAAGTCGGGTAATAATAATCATTGATGTGGTTATTTGTTTAAGCCGATTATTTCCCTTTCATTATTCATTGTTGTTTTTATTCATGTTATTATCTTCATCATTATTTTTATTATATTTGATTAAACAGTTTTATAAAACTGAATGTTGTCTACGGAGAAATGAAATGCATTAGAGCGTCGATAATATCGATAACTTTATTATTTAGAAACGTTTCTGTCAATCATTCTTCTTAAGTTATTCCTCTCTTCATTTCACATTTTTAACCTTTTTTTCATGGACCTTTCCGTTCGTGTTAAGTCTGCTTTCATTCTTCTCACACGATAAAAAATGAAAAGAAGAATGAAAATGAATGACATCAAGACATGTCTGTATTGGGAGTGAGAGGTTTTGGTTGAGTAAACCTGTCATTTCGATTTAATTTGATGTTGTTTTCGTGGTAAGACAGATGATCATTGTGAAAAACATACCTTAGTTTATATAATTGCTTTAAAAAAGAATTGTATTTTTCTCACTCCTTTCCTGTATTTATAACGTGTCATGTTTGTGATAAAGACGGACAGATTGACACCTGTTTTCTTGGCATAGACTTAAATTAAGGTTGAACGTGACTTCTCTGTGAATAGGCAACCAGGGGTAACTTCTGCCAGGCAACCTTTCTCTCTTCAATCATCCAACCATATTCATTTTGAGTGCCATTTTCATTAATGCCTTCTGTATATATTAAACTTAAGTCAGTTTTTTGTATCGAACACTAAATAAAGCTGTAAAAGTAAAAGTTTGTTGTTGGTTTCTTTGTACTTTCCTTGTTGGAGATGGAGACTCTAGCGAAATCTAGCTAGACTAGGGAATAAATATCTTTAAGAGACATTTTGGTATAACAATCATAACATTTCTTTTCTTATACAAAAATGTGAATTTTGCTTCATTGCCAAGGTATATGTATGAATGAATATATGAATATGAATTCATATTATGGTAATAATATTAATGTGAGGGGTATTTTTGTGTATGTAAATACAGGTACACCTTACATGCGTCTCCTTGCCGTGCGGCAATGCAAATCGGATAAACACAAGAAAATCTTACCCGATTTTTTTGTGGGCAAGACGATCTCCCAGAAGTAATAGGGGAAAAGTGGCTTTCAGCTCAGCGTCCCGGGGAAGGGCTTCAACTAAGGACGGCTGGGAAGGGAAGATATTTGCAATAACTGGCATTAATAATTACGGGGACAGAGTTAAAAAGAGAGATTATTGGATTCTGTCTCCCCAGTTGATGGATGTTAATTCTCTGTTTGCCACATATTGATAAGATTATTATCCCTTAGAACGATTTTTTTTCTGTTAATTCTAAAGTCACATTGGCGACACTCGGACGACGAAACTGGAGTGTTCTCTATAATTTGATAATTGTTAAAAAGCGCAATCCCCATTCAAGAAAAAAACTGTATTAAATGAAGAGCATCTCGTTGTTGCTCACTCTGAAAAAGAGAAAGAAAAATAAAAGAGAGAGAGAAAGAAAAAGAGGAGAGAGGAGATGAAGGAAAAAAAACAAGCGTGGAATCAAGGAAACCCTTAAAATAAAAGCCGATACTGTGGTGCTTATTTTGATACGCTTTGCACACTAATATGATTTAGGTGCCCACAGCCCAACCAATGATATCTCCTTTAAAGATCTCAGTCCCATGTAGCCAAAAATAAAGTGTGTTTACGAACGTACTTATATGATATGTAGATACACTTCTAGACTAAAACATATCTTTATCATGCAGTTATCTAACCGTAGCGAAGGCTCTGGCACTGGCTCCTGAAGATAAACATTTATACCCGCAGGAGTCGTCTAGATGTGACATGAGAGGGGACAGTCATGTGTCGTTGGTCCCGTCGTCTTTCTTGGGAGGTTTGGCGGGGGAACGGCAAGGGGCTTCCTGTTTATGGATTTCTATTTTATGCATCAGTGGCTTGTGGCTAGTAATCAGGAATATAAATATAAGTTCAACAAATAGATTATTCTTACTCTGGATTTTTTTTTGTCAGCTAAATGATAAAGTGTCGAGTGAAGGGCATACAGACCTACTGTGTAAGTCCTAGTATCAAGGCCGGATTTGCGCATATAGATAAAATAAAGCCACAGCCTAGGGCAGTGGTTCTCAACTTGTGCGTCTCGATTATCCTGCGAGCGTGTTGCATAATGTTTTGCAGATGTGTATATCTCACCTTTGACAGCTGGCAAATGATGATGCAATGGATAAAGAAAACATAAGCAGAATAAAGGAAGGAGGAGAGAAGGAAGAGGGAGAGTAGGTAAAGTTTTAGAATTGGAAGGAAGATGGCAGATAACAAGGACGGGAAGAACAGCCCTGTACGTTTTTTTTTCTGCACCATAATGGGAATGTAGCCAAAACCAAGTTAACCTACTCTAAAGTCTCCAAATAATTAGCATTTATCAAGTTATTGTTGACTGATTTACAGTAGTTTGTACACTTTCGTGAGAATATATTAACATGTATATGAATAATATATTCGTATTCGCACATTAACGGCATAAAGAGTTGGTGTGTCGCAGAAGTCTAGTTCACGTGTCCCCCCAAGATGCAAAGGTTCAAAACCGCTGGCCTCGCATTTCAAGGGCTTTAGAATCTATTGTATAATGCATTAGTATAAGTCATTACTTAATTTGTGCTAATAATCAGAAAAAAAACATTAATGTCTTCAAATTCTAAGAAACGCTTATTTTCATTTTACAAGTTACCTCCGGTCTTCTTCATACAGCTTACGGCTTCACTAAGTCTAAATCTAAGTCACAGGAAAGCAACGAGCAAACTGGTCCTAAGGCACTCCATCAGAAGCAGCAACCGTTTCCCAAGCACGAGTAAGAGGGACAGGGTGGTTTTGTGTGTCAGCTGATTAAGGGAAGAACAGCTGATGTGTTCCAGGTGAGCTGGTGAATGATGATGTAATGGATAAAGAAAAAAATAAGCGGAATAAAGGAGGGAGGGAGGAAGAAAGAGAGTAGGTAAAGTTTCGGAATTGGAAGGAAGATGGCAGATAACAGGGGCAGGAAGAAAATCCCTGTACGTTGTTGTTGTTTTTTTCTCGTGCGTGAATCCTGCAAAGCTTCGTAGTCAATAGATAATTGTCTTTGGAGAGGATGCTGCAGTCAATATTACAACGTAAACTTATGTACTTGCTTTAAACAGTACGCTGAGCGAAGATACAACACAAAGATTCATTTCAACTGATTTTTTTTCCTAACTGAAACAATTAGCTGTACGAGAAAAAAACAAACAAGCATGCTTTTTGTGAACCCACACGATTAGCTGAGCGAGAAATACGAGTTACAGCCATTTTTTTAAATCAAAACCATTAGCTGAACACGAAAAAAAAACACTCGGTGAACGAAAATGCAAGAAATGAGCATGACCATTTCTGATAAACTAGGCACCCCCCCCCCCCCCCGCTTCATCTGCATCACCTCCCCGCTTCCTTCCCTCGTGTGACTCCCCTTGCTCACACTACCTTTCCCTGGACCCCCCCCCCCCTCCTGACACCTCCGCAACTGCCCTTTGATCAAATCGCCCTTAACCCCCCCCCCTCCTTTCCCTTTTGCAAATTCCTCCCTTGCCCCATCGACATCCCGACCGAATCCCACAACCCTTTCCTTTGCCAACTTCGACCCAATCTCCCCATTGCTAATCGCTGCCTCAACCCCTTTGCCTCTACCTCGCCTCCTTTCACCTCTTCGATGCCATACTCTCCTTGAACGACCTTTGATTTGTGGCACAGTTAATCGCCAACTCACCTTCGTCTTTGTCCATCTGCTACGCCTTCCTATAGTGCTGTATGACCTTTGGTGTTTGCCTCATTTATTTTGCTTTCTGACCAGCAGCTAGTCAGTGATGAACGAGGTAAGTGGTCGAAAGGAGAATTGGAGTGATAAACAGCAGGAGAAAGTGGGAATTCATGGTTCCAGGGGAGTCTGAAAGCATGAGACGCATAGCTGCAATAAGTACAAAAATGCATAACAAAGGAGAAGCGAAAGACGAGGCAAGTGAAGGGCACTGCTAAGACGAGGAGTGCTGTGACGCGGGCGAGAAGCTACACGGGCGACGATTAAACAGCTTCAAACAAATATGGTTGGCTTTGTGGATCCTAGAACTGGATCTCACCGGTGCAAAGGGAGAGAACAGAGAACACCAGAGGGACAGAGAACACCAGAGGCAACTGCAAGGTAAGCGAAAGGAGGATAAGCCATAGCAAGACGGGAGGTAAAACAAAGAGTGCAATAAAAAAAACACTTCAGCCATGAAGCGGAGAAGCGCCATGCAGTCCCAGGGGACGCTCGGGACGCTGCTGAGAACGAATGCAGAAGGAAACGGAGGTCTGCGGATCTGAATGCGTGAGACGAATCAGCGGTACGAGGAATTCGCTAAGTGCAAAATTGCAAGATGTGCAACAAGGACCGGCTACATGTAGTCGTACTCAGTCTCTAACTGGAGCTACTTTATTTGTCTTTTATTCTATATATATTTCCTTTAATTTCCACCCTGCCTCTCTTCTGATGCATTATGCAACTACAGCAACAATATACGTCAGGTCTTCATTATTTCTATGGTATATTGCTCTCCGTCTTACACTGTAGCCTTAACACATGGCGTAAAATAGAGTAAGATACACGCCAGCCTTTTAAACGTAGGGGGTCAGTCGGCGTTGGCGATTTATTTACCGCACGTGGCAATGTTCTGGGTCACTGAGGGGTGGTTTGTGAATTATATTTTTTTTGTAATGTTATCAATGTGCTTTAAGTGTTATAGCGTTCCTGTTCGCTGTCCCAGGTGCTTTCGCTTCGTTATTATAGCAATGATGATAATAATAGTAATAATGATAATGATAATGATGATAATGATAACAATAACAATGACAATGACAATGACAATGACAATGACAATGACAATGACAATGACAATGACAATGACAATGATAATGATAATGA